ATGTATATCAGAGTAGGCTGAAGGACAAATGTCTAAATGTGTGAGCAGACTGATTATACACAAAGAAACAAACAGAAACATGCATTGTAGAGTTGTGCCTGACATCGACAACGACATCTTTGCCTTTTGAAGCTTCCCACCCTAACCCTAAACCACTGTCCTTGGCTATCACTGTCACACACGCACACGCAAAAACAGACAACTCAAAAATGTCTCCAAAAGCATGTAAACATGTATTTACAGGATTGACCTTAACAAAGGAATTAGCTTGTCGCCTCTCTCTGTTCTCTCCTCAGCTAAATATTGAATTGCATTAGTGGCTTCACAGCACCAATCAATGCTAGACATCTAAACAAAGGGTTAGAAGTGGGTCCTGGGCTTTGACTTTTTTTTTCTGTTCTATGTTTGTTTCTCACTTGCCATGCTCCTTCCACTTGTATATAGGGCTGTCACGATAACTACTTTTGGTTGTGCGATATATTGCAACAAAATTAATTGCGATAAACAATATTATTGCGATTTTTTTTTCAGAATGTTAATGTACATGTTTGTCGAAGGTTTGCATCATTTTAAATTCTGTTTTTTCGACCGTGTTTAATGGCTGCTTCTCTTTGGCTATATAGCGAGTTACGCTATATGAGTGAGTATGCGCCATTTATCTATCGCGTTTATATTTACACTGAAACAGATAACTGTCTGGAAGACCCCGTTTCAGCTGCAGTTCTTGTTCCCAGGTTCATAAACTGGGTGGGATGGTTTTAGGTGAGATTGGAGATTGGAGGTTAGTTGTGTCGCCTCTTTTCGTTGCTACTGTTGTTAAACCAAGTCGACATACCGGCTCGTTAATTGTCTCTCCTTTCTCATTTGGCTTAAAGCCTAAATGTTCCCACACCGGCTTTGAAACCAACTCCATTTGGACTTATTCTTCCTAACTGGCTGTATGTCACTATGAAACAGTCCACTTCATAACACAGTGGGTTCACGTGTGTGTGTCCGCTGCGTGTGTGTGTGTCCGCAGCTCCGGTGTGTGTGTGCGCGAGACTGCCTTGAGCCCCGCCTCCTCTTTCGACACAGAAGGAGACCAGATAACAGGCAGCTCGATCGACTAAAATGTTGTTAACATTCATTTTTTAAAATTAATATAATATATCGCAGCACCAAAAATTATCACGCTAATTTCCATATATCGCGCGCTAAGTCAATATATTGCCTATCGCGACAGGCCTACTTGTATACAAGAGAAAAGCATCTTATTATGCACTAAAATATCACTATAACAAATAGGGAGAGAGACTATCCCCATGCACTATAATACCACTATAACAGATAGGGAGAGCGACTATCCCCATGCACTATAATACCACTATAACAGATAGGGAGAGACTATCCCCATCCACTATACTACCACTATAACAGATAGGGAGAGAGACTATCCCCATGCACTATAATACCACTATAACAGATAGGGAGAGAGACTATCCCCATGCACTATAATACCACTATAACAGATAGGAAGAGAGACTATCCCCATGCACTATACTACCACTATAACAGATAGGGAGAGAGACTATCCCCATGCACTAAAATATCACTATAACAAATAGGGAGAGAGACTATCCCCATGCACTATACTACCACTATAACAGATAGGGAGAGAGACTATCCCCATGCACTAAAATATCACTATAACAAATAGGGAGAGAGACTATCCCCATGCACTATACTACCACTATAACAGATAGGGAGAGAGACTATCCCCATGCACTAAAATATCACTATAACACATAGGGAGAGAGACTATCCCCATGCACTATAATACCACTATAACAGATAGGGAGAGAGACTATCCCTGTGCACTATAATACCACTATAACAGATAGGGAGAGAGACTATCCCCATGCACTAAAATATCACTATAACAAATAGGGAGAGCGACTATCCCCATGCACTATAATACCACTATAACAGATAGGGAGAAACTATCCCCATGCACTATACAACCACTATAACAGATAGTGAGAGACTATCCCCATGCACTATAATACCACTATAACAGATAGGGAGAGAGACTATCCCCATGCACTATACTACCACTATAACAGATAGGGAGAGAGACTATCCCCATGCACTATAATACCACTATAACAGATAGGGAGAAACTATCCCCATGCACTATACTACCACTATAACAGATAGTGAGAGACTATCCCCATGCACTATAATACCACTATAACAGATAGGGAGAGAGACTATCCCCATGCACTAAAATATCACTATAACACATAGGGAGAGAGACTATCCCCATGCACTATACTACCACTATAACAGATAGGGAGAGAGACTATCCCTGTGCACTATAATACCACTATAACAGATAGGGAGAGAGACTATCCCCATGCACTATAATACCACTATAACAGATAGGGAGAGAGACTATCCCCATGCACTATAATATCACTATATCAGATAGGGAGAGAGACTATCCCCATGGACTATACTACCACTATAACAGATAGAGAGAGACTATTTTGAAAGTTCATGCCCATTCATAAAACTGTAAGTAACACTTACAGATGCATAACACACCTAAAATAATTCTCTCAACCCTCTTTGTCTCCTCTCCCTGTTCAAAAAAGTGCTTTAACAGAGAGAGCTGCCCACACACACAGATATGCCACAAACACACACACAGTCAAAAATGCACATACTGACAAACATCTGCGTACACAGAGATGTTTCGTAAAGGCATTTACTCAAAATGCACAGGCACACACACATCCACACCATGGCCCCTCTAGGCACAGAAATCAGGACTGTATACAAAGTCTGCATTATTTATGGGCAACATTAGTGCATCTCCCGGAGTGAGTGAATGTGTGTTGTCATTATTACACCACTTTCTTAGTATGTTATTTATTAAGCTCCAGCACGGCACAAGGTGTGAGGAAAAGGTGATGTTGATTCTAATCTGTCACACGATACAAGCGGAAGCATTATTTCTGAGGGAGAATAATGGCTTCTCATAACAGGCTCCTTTCTACCTGTGTGTGTGTGCGTGTGTAGGTTGTATCAAAGTGTAAACTAAAAATATAACTTACCCAAAAGCTTCTACCATATTATAATAACACAGCGAAATAATTACACAGTGTGTTTTGAGGTTAGATACAAGCCTAAACAGAGGAGACAAGGTGGAGAAGAATGTAGAGGTAGAGGACCCTAACCCCTGATCCTAACCCCTGATCCTAACCCCTGACAGTGGTTACAGAGGAGACAAGGGGGAGTAGTATAACCCCTAATCTTAACCTTAACCCTAAACTACTGCACTCTACTTCCTTGACTAAGACCCCCTTTACACCTACAGGCAGATACACCACATCACATAATACCTTTTTTAACCAAGCACGTCACTAATGTTAAAACTGAAAACATTTATTTTAGTTTGCCTTTCCTGTATATATTCTGAAAACGTCAGTACAAAAGAGGCTAAAGTAACATCTGAGTGTAAAATCTGTCATCACACAAACAACTACACATGTGCACACAGCCCATTACAACTACACAAGCGCACACAGCCCATTCCAACTACACAAGTGCACACAGCCCATTCCAACTACACAAGTGCACACAGCCCATTACAACTACACAAGTGCACACAGCCCATTACAACTACACAAGTGCACACAGCCCATTACAACTACACAAGTGCACACAGCCCATTCCAACTACACAAGTGCACACAGCCCATTCCAACTACACAAGTGCACACAGCCCATTCCAACTACACAAGTGCACACAGCCCATTCCAACTACACAAGTGCACACAGCCCATTCCAACTACACAAGTGCACACAGCCCATTACAACTACACAAGTGCACACAGCCCATTCCAACTACACAAGTGCACACAGCCCATTCCAACTACACAAGTGCACACAGCCCATTCCAACTACACAAGTGCACACAGCCCATTCCAACTACACAAGTGCACACAGCCCATTCCAACTACACAAGTGCACACAGCCCATTCCAATTGCACACAGCCCATTCCAACTACACAAGTGCACACAGCCCATTACAACTACACAAGTGCACACAGCCCATTACAACTACACAAGTGCACACAGCCCATTACAACTACACAAGTGCACACAGCCCATTACAACTACACAAGTGCACACAGCCCATTCCAACTACACAAGTGCACACAGCCCATTCCAACTACACAAGTGCACACAGCCCATTCCAACTACACAAGTGCACACAGCCCATTCCAACTACACAAGTGCACACAGCCCATTCCAACTACACAAGTGCACACAGCCCATTCCAACTACACAAGTGCACACAGCCCATTCCAACTACACAAGTGCACACAGCCCATTACAACTACACATGTGCACACAGCCCATTACAACTACACAAGCGCACACAGCCCATTCCAACTACACAAGCGCACACAGCCCATTCCAACTACACAAGCGCACACAGCCCATTCCCTGCAGGAATCACCTCCTTGTCCTGACCTTCCTAAAATATTTAAAGATTTTGTTATTTCTCAGTATAATTTTTTCCCAGATTCAGCGTGCCACTTTGTCCTTACTCAGCAGTCCTCGTCTGCTTTTCTGCATTTCTACAAGCTGCCTCGGTAGTCAAAGAGGGATTTTGCTGTGGCTGCTCTCTTTAGCAACGTTGCCACCCTTCAAGCCGCTTCAGAAGAAATGGCATTAAAATCATACTTGGGTTCATAGGGCGGGATAGGGGGAGGAAGGAAGAGAGAGAAGGAAGAGAGAGAAGGAAGAGACGGGTGATTGTCGCTGAAAAACTCTTCAGCATTCGTTGACAATGGGTCAGACAAATATACTGGGATGCGGGTTAGGGCTAGGGTTATATAGGGATGACTACAGATTAGCTATTCCAGTGATTATTTTATTACAGAAAAAACAACCTTTTATTTAACCAGGTAGGCCGATTGAGAACAAATTCTTATTTGCATGGCGACCTGGGAAGAAGCTGGGGATTGAACCCATGACATCATACATACAGGGCATGCACTCTACCACTGAGCTATCAACTTGTGGGTGGACAGGAGATACAGGATTTGGTTACTTAGAAGATATAGAATCTGTCCACAGAAATAGGGCAAGGATGAGAGAATCACCTCGAGGTCCACCGTTGGCCATAAATACATCTCTGCTCCATTCATCTCTATGGAAAATGAGACAGAGTGACAGCAAGACAGATTGGGACACACGAAAAGAAAGATTTGTAGACAGACAAATAGACAGACAGAGACAGTGAGATAGAAAAAAGAGAGCAATAGAGACGAACAGGAAGAGGCTATAAGATTATGGGAAAGGGTGAGTATATATATAGCCTGAGAGAACTGGAACTGTCAGGGTTAGGGTTAGGGTGAGTGTATATATATAGCCTGAGAGAACTGGAACTGTCAGGGTTAGGGTTAGGGTGAGTATATATATAGCCTGAGAGAACTGGAACTGTCAGGGTTAGGGTTTGGGAGTGTATATATATAGCCTGAGAGAACTGGAACTGTCAGGGTTAGGGTTAGGGTTAGGGTGTATATATAGCCTGAGAGAACTGGAACTGTCAGGGTTAGGGTTAGGGTGAGTATATATATAGCCTGAGAGAACTGGAACTGTCAGCCTGAGAGAACTGGAACTGTCTAGCCTGGAACTGGCCTGAAGGGTGAGTATATATATAGCCTGAGAGAACTGGAACTGTCAGGGTTAGGGTTAGGGTGAGTATATATATAGCCTGAGAGAACTGGAACCTGAGTGTATATATAGCCTGAGAGAACTGGAATGTAATATATATATACGCACTCACCTGGGCCTGGATTGTTGGCACGCACTCACCACCGGATTGTTCCAGAATAAAACAGAGCGCTCTACTGAAACTTGTGAGGATGACTCCATTCTGAGGTTATTCTATTCCTTGTTCTATGCAGTGGTGAATAAATGAACAATATAGTAAGAGAGATTCGGATAGGAAAGGTAAGGAGCTCTGATAGCGTAACATTTATTTATGTGATGCCGGAAAGCGAGAACACACACACGAACATAAACTCCTTAAAGAGCGACGTCACAAACTGCTGCACACAATATATGGGCTCAGAATTGAACTGTTAATTCAAAAAACACACTCAGTGTCGATCAATGAATCAGGATTAATTATCTAACTATAACTGGGTTGTGTGACCCAACTATCTAACTATAACTGGGTTGTGTGACCCAACTATCTAACTATAACTGGGTTGTGTGACCCAACTATCTAACTATAACTGGGTTGTGTGACCCAACTATCTAACTATAACTGGGTTGTGTGACCCAACTATAACTGGGTTGTGTGACCTAACTATAACTGGGTTGTGTGATCTAACTATAACTGGGTTGTGTGACCCAACTATCTAACTATAACTGGGTTGTGTGATCTAACTATCTAACTATAACTGGGTTGTGTGACCCAACTATCTAACTATAACTGGGTTGTGTGACCCAACTATCTAACTATAACTGGGTTGTGTGACCCAACTATAACTGGGTTGTGTGACCTAACTATAACTGGGTTGTGTGATCTAACTATAACTGGGTTGTGTGACCCAACTATCTAACTATAACTGGGTTGTGTGATCTAACTATCTAACTATAACTGGGTTGTGTGACCCAACTATAACTGGGTTGTGTGATCTAACTATCTAACTATAACTGGGTTGTGTGATCTAACTATAACTGGGTTGTGTGACCTAACTATCTAACTATAACTGGGTTGTGTGATCTAACTATAACTGGGTTGTGTGACCCAACTATCTAACTATAACTGGGTTGTGTGATCTAACTATAACTGGGTTGTGTGACCCAACTATCTAACTATAACTGGGTTGTGTGATCTATCTAACTATAACTGGGTTGTGTGATCTAACTATAACTGGGTTGTGTGACTATCTAACTATAACTGGGTTGTGTGATCTAACTATAACTGGGTTGTGTGACCTAACTATCTAACTATAACTGGGTTGTGTGATCTAACTATAACTGGGTTGTGTGACCCAACTATCTAACTATAACTGGGTTGTGTGATCTAACTATCTAACTATAACTGGGTTGTGTGATCTAACTATAACTAGGTTGTGTGACCCAACTATCTAACTATAACTGGGTTGTGTGACTAAGTATAACTATCTAACTATAACTGGGTTGTGTGATCTAACTATAACTGGGTTGTGTGATCTAACTATAACTGGGTTGTGTGACCTAACTATCTAACTATAACTGGGTTGTGTGATCTATCTAACTATAACTGGGTTGTGTGACCCAACTATCTAACTATAACTGGGTTGTGTGATCTAACTAAGTATAACTGGGTTGTGTGATCTAACTATAACTGGGTTGTGTGATCTAACTAACTATAACTGGGTTGTGTGATCTAACTAACTATAACTGGGTTGTGTGACCCAACTATCTAACTATAACTGGGTTGTGTGATCTAACTAACTATAACTTGGTTGTGTGATCTAACTATCTAACTATAACTGGGTTGTGTGACCTAACTATAACTGGGTTGTGTGATCTAACTAACTATAACCGGGTTGTGTGATCTAACTAACTATAACTTGGTTGTGTGATCTAACTATAACTGGGTTGTGTGATCTAACTAACTATAACTGGGTTGTGTGATCTAACTAACTATAACTGGGTTGTGTGATCTAACTAACTATAACTGGGTTGTGTGATCTAACTAACTATAACTGGGTTGTGTGACCTAACTATCTAACTATAACTGGGTTGTGTGATCTATCTAACTATAACTGGGTTGTGTGACCTAACTATCTAACTATGGGTTGTGTGATCTAACTAACTATAACTGGGTTGTGTGATCTAACTAACTATAACTGGGTTGTGTGATCTAACTAACTATAACCGGGTTGTGTGATCTAACTAACTATAACTGGGTTGTGTGATCTAACTATAACTATAACTGGGTTGTGTGACTAATAAACCTAACTATAACCGGGTTGTGTATAACAGTATAAGATACAAAGTAATTGGTATAACAGTATAAGATAAGTGTTGAATTACAGTGTTGTTTGACATTTTCTTTGGTATAACTGAAAAAGCCTTGAAATGCACTCTACAACAAAACAGCAACATACCATTGTTAACAGTATAAGAAAAAGGATGGAGACCATGTGGAGAATAACAGTATAAGAGCTGCTCCTGTTCTCTAGCTGGGTAAGACCGGGATATAACAGTTAGCAGATTTAGTCAGATAGTATACAGAGTATAACTGGTTAATTAGCAATAAATAGTTATGGAAATGTTAGTATAAGCCCAGGGGGAAGTATAAGAAGAGACCATAACATATCAAAATGAGTATTCTAAGAGACTTGCTAAAGTATAACAGACTATAACAGCAGAGCATAAGATACAGAGTATAACAGTATAAGATACAGAGTATAACAGTATAAGATGCAGAGTATAACAGTATAAATAACATATAAGATGCAGTATAACAGTATAACAGTATAAGATACAGAGTATAACAGTATAAGACAAGTATAACAGTATAAGATACAGAGTATAACAGTATAAGATAAGAGTACAGAGTATAACAGTATAAGATGCAGAGTATAACAGTATAAGATAAGTATAACAGTATAAGATAACAGTATAAGATACAGAGTATAACAGTATAAGATACAGAGTATAACAGTATAAGATGCAGAGTATAACAGTAAGATAAGATAACAGATACAGTATAACAGTATAAGATACAGAGTATAACAGTATAAGATGCAGAGTATAAGAGTATAAGATACAGAGTATAACAGTATAAGATACAGAGTATAACAGTATAAGATACAGAGTATAACAGTATAAGATGCAGAGTATAACAGTATAAGATACAGAGTATAACAGTATAAGATGCAGAGTATAACAGTATAAGATACAGAGTATAAGAGTATAAGATACAGAGTATAACAGTATAAGATACAGAGTATAACAGTATAAGATAACAGAGTATAACAGTATAAGATACAGAGTATAACAGTATAAGATACAGAGTATAACAGTATAAGATACAGAGTATAACAGTATAAGATACAGAGTATACAGAGTAGTAAGATACAGTATAAGATACAGAGTATAACAGTATAAGATACAGAGTATAACAGTATAAGATAATACAGAGTATAACAGTATAAGATACAGAGTATAACAGTATAAGATACAGAGTATAACAGTATAAGATACAGAGTATAACAGTATAAGATGCAGAGTATAACAGTATAAGATACAGAGTATAACAGTATAAGATACAGAGTATAACAGTATAAGATACAGAGTATAACAGTATAAGATACAGAGTATAACAGTATAAGATACAGAGTATAACAGTATAAGATAAAGAGTATACAGAGTATAACAGTATAAGATACAGAGTATAACAGTATAAGATAGTATAACAGTATAAGATACAGAGTATAACAGTATAAGATACAGAGTATAACAGTATAAGATACAGAGTATAACAGTATAAGATACAGAGTATAACAGTATAAGATACAGAGTATAACAGTATAAGATACAGAGTATAACAGTATAAGATGCAGAGTATAACAGTATAAGATGCAGAGTATAACAGTATAAGATGCAGAGTATAACAGTATAAGATGCAGAGTATAACAGTATAAGATGCAGAGTATAACAGTATAAGATACAGAGTATAACAGTATAAGATACAGAGAGAGAGATTGATATCACTATATATAGAGATAGATGGCACTATACATCACATCTCCCCAGTTTCTCCTCTGACAAAAATTACATTAAATTGAGCGACAAACAAATAGAGAGAATAATATTATGTATCTATGAATAATATGTATCTATGGATAATATGTATCTATGAATAATATGTATCTATGGATAATATGTATCTATGGATAATATGTATCTATGGATAATATGTATCTATGGATAATATGTATCTATGAATAATATGTATCTATGAATAATATGTATCTATGGATATTATGTATCTATGGATATTATGTAT